CTTTCCAATGGCATGGGTCAGTTTTAACAATTGCATTGTGTTAGACGTGCAATCTAAAAATATATATATAGAGAGAGATACAGAGAGCAGAGGTGGTTGCCAGAGGAAAGGAGTGGGAATGGTGGAGGGGGGAGGAAGCGGTGAAGCTGGTAAAAGTTATAAACCTCTAGTGATTAGTGATAAAACAGATAAGTCCTGGTGATGTAATATATGGCATGGAGACTATAGTTAATAATACTGTATTGTATACTTAAGGTGCATTGTATACACTGTATACTTAAAAGGCAACATACCTTAAAAGCTCTCCTCACCAGGAGAAAAAATGGTAACTGTATGGTGATAAAGGTTAAGTACACTTATTGCAATGATCATTGTGCAATATGTGAAAATATTAAATCATTATGCTGTACACATGGAACTAATATAATAGTATATGTCAATGATATCTCAACTGTTTTTTAAAAAAGAGTCTACTTAAGATAGTAATTGTCCTGCGTGTTTATATTCCTCCAAATCTATAGACTAGAAACTCAGAAGAATATGAACTCTGTGAGCAATGAATGAAGTGGTTATTGGGTGAACCCCTTAAACCCTTTAATTAGAAAATAACAAAAGAAATTGGTGAATATTTATTTTAAGCATAACCTCTATTTCACCTTACTTCTGCCTGCTTTCTACAACCTTTACTGTGCACTGAAGAGGCACAAAAGGATTAGAGACAGGTTTAAAACCATTTGTTCTAGGGGAAGCCGGGTGGCTCTGTTGGTTAATCATCTGACTTTGGTTCAGGTCATGGTCTCATAGTTTCTGAGTTCAAGGCCTGCTGTCACACCGACAGCAGAGCCTCCTTCAGACTCTGTGTCTCCTCTCTCTCTCTGCCCCTCCCCTGCTCGCACTCTCTTGTTCTCTCTCAAAAATAAAAAAACACTAAAAAAAATAAAAACCATTACCTTTATAAAACCCAGAACACAGTAATTTTTTGCATGAAAACTAATAGGAAAACAATCTAATATTCAGTTCATGACTTCCTTTTACTCATTTATAAATGGCTATGTGGGTTGACAGTGCCAGAATCTTAAAAGAAATTAGTTTTGTGCCTTGAATGAGGCACTGTTAAACTTATATCTTCTTCCTTGTCTCATAACTAAGGAAGACAGTTTTCAAGAATTTAATCTTCTACATACTATATTGATTTGTAAAGTCACTTTTCTAGATGCTGAAAAAAAATGCCCATTGTCATTTTATTTTATTTTTATTTTTTTTTATTTTAGAGAGAGAGAGGGAAAGGGGTAGAGGGGGAGAGAGAGAATCTTAAGCAGCCTCCACGCTCAGTCCAGTATGGGGCTAGATCCCATGACCCTGGGGTCATGACCTCAATCAAAATCTAGAGTCAGATGCTCAACTAACTGAGCCACCCAGAGACCCCCAAAATTGTCCATTATAATTTTAAATAAAATATGATATGTACCTAATTTAATTGAGTGAGTAGTTTATATTTCACATAGATACTGATCAATTGTGTGTTTTCCTCAACATGCCAAGGAGGAGAAAGTTCCCAAAATGAAGGGGCTATATCCCTCTTTCATCCCCATCCACATTCTCTTCCCAAAACATTGGGGCAAATTGAGGATGGCAATTAATCCTCAATCCCAAGCCTCTTTCCTTGGGAAAGCCTCTTTCCTCTTTGCTCTTTCCTTCCCCATCTTTACCCTCAGAAGGAAGAAGTATACCGATTCTAATTCACTGCTCCTTCTAGTATGTCTTGGGGGTCTTTATTACATAGCTTCTCCACCTAAGGATTTTCACTACCTATAAGAATAATAATCCTCATATACCCTTGAGCACGAAGTCCCAGATGCAGGAATCTCTTTTATCATGATAAAAGCAACAGTGCAAAGGATATGTGTATTAAAATCATCATTTAAATATTATTAAATATTATTAAAAGTGGCAAAATCTGGAAACAGCCTATATGACCAAGAACTGGGGGGAAATGGTGGTACGTTTCTATCATGAAATATTGTGGAACTGTGAAAAAGTGTCAACTATGTATCTACAGACCCAGAGGGTCCTTTCTACATAATGTATTAAATTATTTTTCATAATACATGTATAGCAGTTTCCTTTTTATAAAAAAAAAAACTTCAACCCCAAACCTATCATGTGAAATGTGTGTCAGTGCATGTTTATGTGAGCATGGAGAATGGTGGAGGAATCCACACCAAACCACTATCCCCTCTCACATAAGGTGGAAACATGTCATTAGATTGTCTTCCATTGCAAGTGCTAGAGATCTCAATTCAAATTGATCTTGAAACTGAGAAAAGAGCATGGAATATAAATCTATTCTAGAAACCTAGTAGTGCTGGGGTGATTTGGGGCTCAGTACCTCTCTGGCTCTGTTCTCTGATTTCTCTGGCTGCTCCGTTTGAAAGTTTTGAGCACTATGTTTGTCTCCGGTCCATACGCCTATGTGAATATCTAACTTCATCACTTAAACAGGGGAATTTTGGAGAGTGAAAGATGGTGCTCTTGATACTCACTGCAGGATAACAGGATGCTCCTAGGCAGACTGGGGTCTGAGGTCAACTTCTTATGTCACAACATGCAAGGGAGGAGAGAGATGGCATTTTCTGCTGGCTTTATCTGAAAGAAAAAACCAATTTCTCAGAAGCCATAAGTGAAGTCCTTCTTGAGATTCGCTGGCTTCAGTCGGGTAATGTTGCCATTCATGATCCAAATCTTGTGGGAATGCCAAATGCTGACTGTGTTTTCGAGCGCTTCAGTCGTTAACTAGAGAGATTAATTTCCTTAGACCAGCAATTTTCAAAGCACAGTTAGGGGACCTCTGGGGACCCTGAGACCCATTATTCATAAAAATAAATTATTTTTGTTAATATTTAATGGATTTATCATTGCTCTTTTAAAATGATTACTAACTATATATGTCTTCATTTCTGTTTTCATTCCTAAAATGGTGATTATCAACAGATATGACTCACATGAACAAAAGCTCTTTGGAGATCTCGTTAATTCGAGGCATGTAAAGAGGATCCTGAGATCCCAAATTGGGAATCCTTCCACAGACTCCCAGGGTTTGCTTTGTCTTGGGCAGGTGGACTACATGAAGAGGCAGTATGGAGCTCCATAAAGTCAGCGTTCTGTCAGACAGGTGTCCGAGGGAGTGCGTGCCGCGTAGGCGGTTGGCCCTGAGAATGGCCATGGAGCAGAAACGGGGGGAGAGATCGGGGCAGCTTATCAACATTTCCCTTCTTGTTAAATTGTTCCAAAGAAGAATGTACTACTTCTGTAATTTGGGAAAATGCACTTATTTTAAATAATTAAAAATAATAATGCTGAGTGATTTTCAATCGTCATAGCAAAATTAAGTTAAACTTAATATTCAACCATGACTACGAACTTTTCAGTAGCAAAGATGAAGCAAAAAGATCAAAAATACCCAAAAGAATTAGTTGGATTATTGTATTGCACCCCAAATCCATATCCTAGGCATTCCAATATCATTTGGGTAAAAACTGTGCTTATTCCTATATAGTAATGATAATATTTACTATAGATATAAAGTGAATTTTGCTTTCAAATCTAAGTTGGAAAACCTAGAAAATTTTGTCTAGATTCTTTCATCAAGATAAAATAAACAGTAGAGTTTATTTCTAGAATTGTGTAATAGTGATAGTTGAATATTGCTTATTTAAAAAAATTTTTTTAATGTTTTTATTTATTTGTGTGTGAGAGAGAGACAGTGTGAGCAGGGGAAGGTCAGAAAGAGAGGGAGATACAGAATCTGAAGCAGGCTCCAGGCTCTGAGCTAGCTGTCAGCACAGAGCCTGACGTGGGGCTCGAACCCACGAACTTTGAAATCATGACCTCAGCCAAAGTCGGACGCTTAACCTACTGAGCCACCCAGGTGCCCCAAATATTGCTTATTTAAGATTAACAAAAATATTATTTTATTTTTATTATGTTAAATCAATGTTTCCATCTGACACTGTCCCTATTTGTAGTCTGGTTTTGAGAATAAAATTTGGCATAGGTGTCAGGAAATCTGGGGGAAAGGTAATTAGAAACTGCTTAATATTTTTTCCCCATCGTTTAAGTTTGGAAATCGAGTTTTGTCAAATGCCCCTCTCATCATTGATTAAGATCATATTTTTTCTCCCATAATCCATACTATTGAATCATTCTTGCTTTCCAAGTCTGAACCATACTTCACTATTGTGTAACGTACCTTAGATACATTGCTAAACTATTAATATTTTATCTATGTAATTTTTACATGTATTTTCAAAAGTGCAGTTATTCTATAGGTTGATCTTCAGTATGTATCTTTATCAGATTCAGTTTCAGTGTTATACTTTAAAAAAGCCTTCAGGAAATTTTCTTTCTGTTCTGAAATACATATATTATATTGTATATGTTATTCCATATATACTTATATGGAATGAGACGGTTTATTTGTTTGCAAAATAATCATATAGAACTTAACCACATGTCAGATACCATTCCAGGCATTATACAAATTCCAGGTCATTTAATACTTGTAACAACATTATGAGACAGGCTGCTAATATGGTTCTCATTTTATGGATGGGAAATGGAGGCACAGGGAAGTTAAATAACTTGCCCAAGATAACACAGTTTATCGGTGGCAGAATTAGGGAGGCTTTTGACTCCAGACAGTCAGATTCCAGAGTCCATGCTCTGACATAATTTGAACTTTGCCTTCTTTTTGTGGTTAGACTTTAAATGCCTCGTATGATTGCCATCGTTTCCTTCCCTGAATGAAAATAATCCATTCATCTAGTGTGCCAAATGTAATCGCCTTGAGTTTCACCAAGCAAGTTGACTGAAGACCAAGTACTGAGCAAATGAACAGCGTGATGACATGTGAAGTATCTGTTCGTCCATCTGTAAACAAGTATCTGCTGAGCAGCTCTTGTGACTCAGACACTAATTTGGATGAGGAGGGTACAGTAGAGAACATTGCAAAAAAAAAAAAAAGGATCATATCTGTATTCTCAGTTACATCTAAATGGGGACGAAAATAGTATAATGGGCAAAGTGGTGGTAAGTGCCAGGAAAATATGAAGTAGGACAAGGAGACACCGAGTGCTGGGGGAAGGAGGTGGGCTACCTCACATGGGGCATCAGGGAAAATCAGAAGGAAACAATGGAAAGAGCCACGAGGCTGACCATCTGGGCAGAGTGATGCACCACCAGCGAGGGAAAGTACTTCAACAGGAGCGTGCTCGGCGAGTTCAAGAACGGGTGAAGAGGACAGCGTGTGCTGGTGCAGAGTGGCAGGGGGAGCGTGCTGGAGGATGGGGCACTGGAGCCACGTCACACGGGGTCTGGTAAGCCACGGTGGAGACTGCTCCAAGGTGAAGAAGGCGGAAGGCCAGGGGAAGGATCTGCAGAGTGGCTCATGGTGACGCGCATGCGCGGAGATCATTCTGCCTGGACTGGGGCACGAGGAAGCGTCTCCAAGGGGACGCGGCCAGGACAGGGAGGCCAGAATGCGCTCTGCAGTCTTCGCGGAGACCGTGGTTCTAACCAACGCAATGTTGGTGGAAGGGTGAAGTGTTTCCATTCTGGATATTTTTAGAAGGTCAATGGGACCGGAATTCCTGCACCAACATTCCATACTCCCTTGATCTCCCCCAGCTAGTGGTAGGGGTAGCAGTGGTAGTGGTAGTAGTGTCATCATTCATTCATTCAGAAGATCACCTAGTGCCTCCTTTGTGCCAGGCTCCCTGCCAGCTAGTTGGAGACCGCGGTGAATGTTGCAGACAGAGCCACATACCTGGCCATGCTTACAGTCTGTTAGGGAGGGCCACACCCAACCCTACAGCACACAGAGTGTTATATTTGGGGAATTACAAGGTGCCACACAACTGTGTGTTCTCTGCCTTCTAGTACTTTCTATTCCCCTTTATTGACCTCGATACATTGAAAAGCAAATATTTGTGTATGTGTTGGCTTTCCTACTTAGACATCCGGGCTTCTTGAGAACTGGCATCTTAATTACTTTTAGGACCTTAGAAATGAACATATTTCCAGAGAACATAGTAGGTGCCTAATAAATGTTTTCCGAATGATTGATTATTATAGCTAGTCTCTAATTAAGGTAAGCAATTTCTGAATCACTCTTCTGTTACTCTCAATGATATATTATTTTAAAATGAGAATGTTAATTATGTGATTTATGCTAATCAACCTAATTTCTTGGAATTAAGAATAATGCCGTTCATTCACTATCTCATTCAACAAAAATTTTCTTCACTTACCACATACAAAAATATTAGTTTGTATATTGCAGGGTGGACAGAAATAAATTGGTCACTGGGCTCACATTCAGGATTTTGAGTCTAGTAGAAAAGGTATGGTAATTAAAAAAATATTGTAGTGACCATTCAGGAAGTGTGTGTGTGTGTGTGTTTCTTTGGGTTTCTGTGTCTGTGTGTTGTTACTGCTGCAAGAAGTTCTACATCCACCCTTGGAAAGAATGACTTTATTGGAAGGAATGGGGCAGTGACTCATTCTCCTATAGGAAGGCTGGGCTGTCTTTCAGTCCTTTCTAATGACCATTGGACTTTGCAAATGAGTCATTGGAGTGTTGAAGGACCCTGTGTGTTGGATGATCTCACGGGGCACAGGAGACATAGTTTGCAGGTGTGTGGGGGTAGGTATTGGACCCTACTTGAATTCAGAGGGTGATGCACAATGGCCTCAAAGGAGGATGGCTGTATCCTACCCGATGGACTGGCATTAGCGCTCAGGCCTCAGGAATGAAGCAGAAGGGTGAGTCATAACCAAGCTGGTAAGGAGGGAGTGAAGTCGAGCTCAAAGCCACACTCCCTCCAAAGGCCAGGCTGGCTGAGGCAGGGACTCAGCGTGAAGCAACAGTGACGGGCAGAGGAAGGAAGACCCCAAGAGCGCAGCAGTGGTGCTGGGCCGGCCGGCGGTGTCAGGGGCCGACTACACCGCCTTGGTCGCAGGCAGGTCCTTCAGAGGTCCAGGGCTCTGCACAGGTTAGGAAACCCCCACCGACTTACCCTGTATGTAAATCAAAGTCAACATAACACTAAGCCATAAAATGTAAAACTTCGTGCTGAAATCAAATACCCTCTTTCTATATTTTCAGATGAAAAAAATATGGGAAAAAAAAGAAAAAAGCGAGCTTTCTTCGTTTTGCTGATGCCTTGGTTCTTCTGGTGGGAGGGCCTCTGCTCACTTACCCAGTGTGAAGGATAATCACTCACTCGTACCCTCTGGAGGAGGGAAGACTGTTTCCTGGGCTCAATTCCCTGGATGTTCTAGGTTGGCAAGTAGGCAGCATCAAGAATAGGGTTCTGGACTTCTTGCTGGTCTAGGCCTGTTCTGTGTTTCTGGAACATAGTTGTCATTGCGTGTGAGACGTAAACAGTATGGTCTTATTCATACCCTGAGCCCTATGAAACAACCCATGTTTATTACACCTAACACATAAGAAAGTGCCAAGAACAATTTGAGTGGTTTATATAACTTGTTAGTGGAAACTTGGAGAACGGAGGTAGTGCCATTAGGGGCCTGAAAGGACTTCCGGAGGAGGCTGTTCTTCGGCTGTAGGAGTGAAGGCAGGGCAGGTAACAGAAGAGCCGCTCGCTCTGGGGCCGAGAGGGAAGCCCGGAAGGAGCCGCACTTGTAGGAACTGCCCAAGGCTGGGGTGCAGACTCCTCTGAAAAGAGGGTGGCTGTGTCCGCTGGATGTTGGGGGTCTGTTGAGTGCTGCGGCAGAGGCCGTCAAGAAGGACCCCACCCCGCAGGGCCGGGCCTGGCAGGAACACGCCCACGGCTGCTGCGCCTGCCGCAGGGGAAGAGCGGAAGAGCCTGCGCTCTGGAGCCCTGTTGCGCCAATGCCAGGAGTGGGGACGGGGGCGCTCCTGCACGCCCGCCTGCTGGCCACCCTGCTGAGCCGCTGGAGTCAGAGATCCGGCCCTGGCCTGGAAGAGTCTCCCCTTCCTCCTTCCTCGCAGGGCGCCCCACACCCGGGGGCTCCCTACAGGGCACTATGTCAGGGGGCCAAGGAGAGAGGGATTACCAGGCAAAGAAGGGTGGGTTTGGGGCAAAGCAGCAATAGACTGACCGCGGGCACAGTGGCTGTGGGTGTGTATATCCTCACAATGATGGGAAAAGTGACTTTGTTCAAGTTCAGGCGGTAGAGTATCAGAACAAAAGTTAGCTGAGCAAAACGGAGAATCTGCTTTTCAATGACCTCCTCAAGGTGCAGCATATTTGTACCTACAGCATCTTGTGTGGCAGCCTCTGGGACTTCTCCACAGGGCTTCCATCATTTTCTTCCATGCTACGTAGTTTCGGTCTAGGTTGCTTAGCTCCTTTTTATGTTATATCTTGCATTGCTTATATTCTATATTGCTCAGTTTTATTTTATGTTACTTAGTTGTATTTGATATTGCTTGGTTATATTTTATGTTAGTTATACTCTATATTGCTTAGTTATATCTTACATTGCTTACTTATATCTTATATTGCTTAGTTTTATTTTGTTACTTAGTTATATTTTATATTGTTGTTATATTTTATATTGCTTAGTTATATTTTATGTTACCTAGTTATAGTTCATGTTATATTTTATGTTTGTTATATGCTATATTACATAGTTATATTGCTTAGTTATATGCACCCACCACCCTGCGTCTGCTGTATTCTCACTCTGAATTCCTCAAAGTATTTGGCTAATGGTCCTCATGATTTTTTATTTTAATTGAATTGGATCCAAATGAAAAGTAGGTGATGAAAACCATAGTCTTTGGAGTCAGACAGACCTGAGCACAAATTCCAGAGCTTTCATTTGTCTGTTGTGACCCTGAGTACATCACTTAATTTTTCTTAGGCCCAGCGTTCAGATCTCTGGAAGGAGGATTAAACAAAACAAAACAAAACAAAACAAAAAACTGTCTAGTGTGGTTTCTGGGAGGATTAAATGAGACTGCATAGGAAACATTTAGGTTGGCATCTAGTAATTCCTCAACAAATGGCAGCTGTTATTAATACAGGGCATTTCAAGTTTCATTGAGTCTTAAAATGAATGTAAAGACAACAGATTTTTGGTGTGGTCTTCAAGCCCTGCTTTCCTAAAATAAGATTTCAGAAAATGAAAGGGCAAAACACACACACACACACACACACACACACACACACACACACACACAAGGACCTCACAGCAAGAACTGAGTTCTTGATGAGTGACTAGTAAAACTAGGAAGTTCATTCCACAGAGGTAATAAAAACAGGGAATTTAGAAAGGAATAGTCTGATCGAGTTTACATTTCATCAGACTGTGTTAGAGGTTGAATCTGTTTTACTGTCTCATTTATGTGACAGATGGTGTGACAACTTATTGAACTGATAAATAGTTTTCAGTTATTTAATCAGAGGGCAATCATCTTACTGTATTTCTCCTCGCCTAATTTGAAACAGATCCAGCCCTTTGTCCGGAATGTTTCCTGTACGTGCCCTGCCAGTCAGCGGGCCGGGCTGTCGCCGTCAGACTGTGTGTCTACACCAGACTCCTGGAGACAACAGCATGCTTATGTCACAAGCCACATCTGTCATGGCAGGATCTGTGTTTCTCCTCAGGTTAATAATATCTGATGCAGGCACCAGGGCTCCTTCCCTTAAAAGCAAGGACACCAGCTTAGGAAGAGGTGCTTCAAAGATCAAAACCGGGTCTGTGACAGTGACGGGTGGGTGTGTGAATTGGCAATGGCAGTGTCAAATCTCTCCTGAAGCGAGGAAAAGGCCCTTGGCTGGCAGAAACGGAGCCTGGGGTATTGCTGGCTCCAGTGAGGGAGACACATTTTGCAAAGTAGCCATGTTCATGGGCGCTGTTTCATGCAGTCTTGTACAGAATGCTAGAAAAATAACCAAGGAAGGAACCGGCAACACGTGAGATCTATACGTTAGGAGATGAGAGCAGAGAAGCATTGCCTCTTCCCAGCTCTCACTTTGAGGAGAGATTGTTTTGCTCTGGATGGGCTGGGTGGTTTTAATTCCTAATAGGGATCACAAGTAAGCAGGAGCTAAAGACTGAGATTCAGACTTGGTAAGATGATGATGATGATGATGATGATGATGATGATGATGATGATAACTATGTTCATTTAGAGACCTTATTGTTTAGAGGCTCAAATAATAATAATAAAATAATAACATATTACTTAACATTTATAAGTACTTATTATATGCTAGTTTGTCATCTCTATTAATCCATTTAATCCTCATTTAAAACTATGCTAGGACTTTTCACTAATCAATTATTCCTTGACATACAGATCATATTTAGCACGTACTCTACCAAAACACATAGTTCCAGCTATTTCTCACAACACCAAGAGGTAGGTGCGATTATCCTCTTACAGACACTAAGCGAGGGTAAGTAATTTCCCGAAGCCACTCAGTGCTGGCAGGGGCTACGATTTCCTATCTAGCTCATAATTGTTACTTTATCCTGGGCTACGCCCTCCCCCCCACCTGATGTTTCAGTCATATGTTAATATGGGAGTCCTTGGGGAAATCCCTGAGCTCACTATCCCTTTTGTGTCATTATCCTATGTGCTGAGAAGTTAAATGAGGAACGACATCAAATTTCTCAGAGCGCTGACACATAAGTACATTTCAGTTGATTCATGCCCAGTGTTTCTCTTTACACTAGAACCTCAGTAATATAGTAATCATTCTTTTTCATCAGGATTTAAGTAACATATAGTCCACAACTACTTGTGTAATGAGCATAGTATAATGTATAGTGTTGTCAAATCACTATGTTGCACACTTGAAACTGATGTAACTCTGTATGTCTATACTTCACTTTTATAGACGTACATATACACATATATACCTATACATGTATACACACAACACTCACACACACACACACACACACATACATACACACAGCTAGATATAAAAGAAGCATTAAGAATCATGGCTTTGGATCTGTTCATTTTCCCCCTGAAGTACAAGCTTTTGCTACCTGTGGTATAAACAGACATTTTGGTATCTAAGGGTTGAGCAATGGAAGGTACAGATAACCTAATGAGAACCATGCTTACGGAAGCTTGAATGGTGCTTATGTTGCAGTCATTTTCTTTATGTCACTGGGGAAATTCAAAATAGAAAAGTGCATTGTAATTTCAGATATTCATCAAGGATATGCTGAGAGCAAAACCTATCTGGTATAGTAAAATTAGGACGATACAATCTTACTGATCATTTCATGCCTGTCACTGAAACGTATTTTGCAGAAAGTCTGACGAAATCAGCCACAACTTATTTAAAGAAACAATCCTATCTACAGTTCAGACTATGTAAGTTTAGACATGTGTAACGTGAAAGTGAATTAGAAAGTACCTGGTAAACTTTATTGTTTTCTCCCATAACTATGTCTATAAGCAAACTAATTCAATGATCTCTTTTACTAAACTCTGCCCAAACTCTTTTGGTTTGGTATTTACCTGCATTCTTCTTTCATTAAATAAATGAGTGTATAATCACGATTTATGCTTATACTCTATTTTGATTTCAGAAGAAAAACAAGGCATGCATATATTCTGCTAGGAAGTTAAAAAAGAAAAAGAAAGTGATGAGGTGATATGCATTATGAAGAACAAAAATGTGTAAAAAATTAAGGTGAAACCTAAATTAAGATTAATATACCAATCGCATGCCATGAGGTCCTAAGTGGATGCTAAAGATGGGCTGTAAATTTCGTTTTGAGCTTCCTGGTAGCCAAAGCAAGAAAGATTATTATCATTAACTTGTTCATTCAGGAAAATAAACTAATCTGCTAGTATTTTCTAGGTGCTCTTGAGGGCATTATAATTTTCCAAAGATTATAATGCATTATTCAAGAGACACACATCTTTTCCTAATATTAAGAGCTAAGGGAAAGTCCTCTTGTGGATCCTTATAAAACAAATCTAGTTGATTTTGCTATTGTGCAATGGCAAACAATTGCAATGAGTAGATGAAGCGGTGGTAATGATGTGTACAAAGTACAGAGGGAACACAGGAGAAGGACATTTGAGTCAACCTGAAGAAATAAGAATCTTTATGACTAGTTAGCATTTAGGTCATTCTTGAAAACTGATGAATTATCCAGCAGAACTATACACAGGAATGCATATATGCCAACGAATGTTCAGGGCTTCTTAGTAGTTCAGGTTTGCATTTGTATAAATTCTGAGCAACAGATAAAGATGAATGGGGAACCAGGAAGTCAGATCAGCAAGTGCCTTGAATGTCATCCAAAATGAAAACGTGATTTGCTGCAAATGAGAGCTATTGAAAAGCGACAATCAGATTTTGTAAGTTAGAGAAGATAGAGGGTGGGAAAAAAGTGCTGAAAAAGTTGGAGAAAGACTGCCTCCTGGAAGGAAGAAAAAGGAACTTGTGTAACAACCAGGGTCTGAGGTGATTTGTAGGCCTTGGCCTGTGAAGGTCAAAATATGACAAGAACGATAACAGTAGACCTAGGAAGTATTTAGGAGCTCGGATATTCATGCACTGATCTGACTGAGAAGTCTCCACTTACACTGATGTAAACATGGGACAGTTTCATCTTTCCCCAACAGCTTCTAATTATAGACTTTCTTTTTCTCCTGAGAAGCAGACTCTTTGCATGACGTCTGAGTATAATTTCATAATATTTTGGTCACTTGGGTTCTTAAAAAAGCTTTTCTGCTATTCAAAATTCTCCTTCGTCAGCACAGACAAGACTTGTGGGAAGGGGCTCCTGGTTGGCTCTTTTCGTTACCATCCCTCCATTTTGCCTCCAGTCCTACCCCTCAAGCCCCCACCTACTAATGGCACAGTGTGAGGGAGGAGGGACGGTGGGTTCCCTGAACAACACAAATTGCTACTGACAGGCACACGGTCCCCCTTCTCTTGGCCACTGTGTCTCAGGGCAAAGCTGTCTGTAGATGAATTTCTAAGTATTGGTCCTCTTTTGTGGGTATATCCCTTGCAGACCTGGGAGATGTGGCTTGACCATTAGCCAATTCCTCTTTCCCTAAGGCTCCCATACCTCCCAGATGCCCAGCAGGAGATCTGTTCACCCCACAGTTTTCCTGCCGAGGAGGACCCTGTAACCACGGAATGCCCCTGGCCCATGGTGGAGTGGGGTGCTGGAACCAGAAGTGTGATGGAAGCCCCAGTCTCCAGGTTGAAGAAGGGAAACGTAGACTCACACATCCTTGCCTGGAATGCGGAATGCATCTTCATGCTCCCTGTCTTGGCTGCCCCCTTCTTCATACCCAACACCACTGGAGGTTCTACCATTTTGTTGGCTCAACAAATTTCAGACAAGCATTCTTTACCAGTCCCCACTTGGTGTGACACAGAGAGGGCAGGTTTTGACACCTGTAATCTTGTAGGAGAGGGACAGAAAGGTTGAATCTTCTCCTTTATAGAGAGAAGTGAGAATTGAACGGGAGGGTTACTATTCTCCAAACTCTGCCTGTCCCCAGAAGGTGAGGACCCCTCCTTCCAGGTCCTGCGTGTGCCTCTGGCTGATAAAGACCACCAAAGTGGCTTTTCTTGTACTGGGGGGCGGGGAACTGAGGCTCTCACCTAAAGAAAGTAGACATGGTCCTCACCAGAATGCCTTGCTCTACTGATTACTTCCAGACACAGGAAACAATGTCAACCCCTATCTCACACAGCATTTTGTTATATAACTTCTGGAAAGACTGAATGTGAATGGTAAAGAGCCATTTAAAATATCTCCAAATTTTTTTTGCCTTGGGAGACTGAAGGAGTAGAGGCATCATCTACCAGCATAAGTGACACACAACGATGAAATTGAGGGTAGATGACAGTGTTTTCCATTTACATGTCTAGTTTGAGGTGCTTTGGGGAGAACCAAGTGGAGGTGTTCAGACACAAGATGGGTCTATGTATTTGTGCCTCCAAAGGAGAAACTCTAGCTTTCGGTACAGATTCATAACTCACTGGCCCAGAGTTGAAGTTACAGTTACTGATTTCAAAAACACAAGATTTTCCTAAACTGGAACAAAAACCCCATTTCCCTACGAAATTTGAAAATTTTTGTAGGACTGTATAACTTAACTAGGGAGATAACTCAGATGTTATCTATATGGTCCTGCTGATTATCTTTAGGTAAGAGTGCTTATCAACACTACTGTAGTTAAATATTAGCTTGGGCTTTTAATTATCTTAACAAACCCCAAACAATGTGATTGTTTTGTATTATGTTAGAAAAAAAGCCATTCCTCATAGAAATGCATTTGGGTGGCAGTAAAGATTCTATGTTTGTTTCCTGTGATCAAAGCAGCGATTTTACCCTCCGATCCTAGTATCATCCTTTATGGTTTGGGTACTTAGCAATTAAGACCACAGATTATTTTCTTGGTATCCATCACTATGATAAATCTTAGGCAGCTACATGAGTTCTTTAAAGGAAATAATAAATCTAACAAATATACCTTAGTAACCATTTCAGACTGTATTTATGCCCTGAAATCTAAAGCCTTCATTAGGCTTTCTCAAAAGAGTTCTCTTAGAGAGTTAGAACATAACTTCAAATGATATTTTCCAAATTTTATGAGATCCCTTACTGGGAAAGAGTCACAGACATGTTCTTTTACTGAATGAGATTAAATTACACCAACTTTTAGAAAGAGAGTGTTGCATTCCTATTGGATTATCCCCCCCCCCCATTATATCTTTAAAACTCCCTGGGCAATTTGTCCAGATTGTTAGAAGTCTGCCCAAGTAAGTGGAATCAAAATTTCCCCAATGTTGTTATGATCTTAATTCACAGAAAAATATTTCTCACCTAGTTAAAGCAAATCCTTTAATACTAAAATTTCCCTTTTTTTAGTATCTTTTATTTTTTCCTTTAAAGTAGGCTCCACACCCAACATGGGGTTTGAACTCACAACCCTGAGATCAGAAGTTGCCTGCTTTACCAACTGAACCAGACAGGTACCTCTAAAAATTAATTTTCTATACCATTTTAAGACAAGAAACTTTTGGCTCAAATTTATAATTTTTAATATTTGATGTGTTAGGTATAGGAACTTTCTGTAGTGCTGTGTTAAAAAATGTGAATAACCCTATAGTCAATTTTATACAACTGATCAGATCAGCATCATTATAAATTACTGAACACCTATAGGTTTTAGAAAGGACTAAATTGAGCTGGCTCCCAGTGTGTTTGCTAGCTGCCTACCATATGATTTGCCAAGCCACCATTTTAGTCACAAAGTAATTGAGTTTGAGGAACTACTTAGACATTGGCTATCTTTGCAAGAATGGCCTGATCACCAGGTATCAATGCCAATGGAAGAGATCATCATAGCCATCCAGGAATTTAAAGATTTACAGGTGCTAAAGAACATGGGATATCTGTAAAAAGCACAAATCTCAGAATTTTATGGGAACTGTTATGTAACATAAATTGGGGGAAATTACAATGTCAAGTGCCATAATTTTTGACTTTTAATCACAGTATGTGAAGATTTCAACTCAGATAACGTATGTTCTAATTACTTAATATGTCACTTCAGTGCCAGATTTCAACAAGTTGCACTTTCTGCCATGTTCTTTGACATGAAAATATTTTGTTCCTAAGATATGTCAGGAACACACTATCTGAGCACTAGGTAAGCATGTATACAGATAGCCTTTCACATGTGTCTCCATTGATCAGGTCTCCACTACATTAAAAATGGCTATGTCATGCTTCCTTACATAGTTCACCTCCTTTTTAAATGCTAAAACTTTAACTTGAATGTTCCTAGATGCTACGCTTTCTTCCAGTTTCATAAATTATCACTTAGCCTGCCCTCCAAAAACAGGGCAGCTAAGTGTCACCAGGAAACACTAGTTGAAATAGAAAAAGTCCAGTTTTTCAAAATATCTTCAGGTTTTCTTTCTCTTGACATTTTCTGTCTCTTCCCTTACCTAGTGTTCTCTTCCAGAAACTCTTGTCATCTGATTAACAATGACCCTATGCATTTACAGAGTTTAGTCATAGTTATTTGTTACTACTGAAATACTACTACAAGCCAGATCATAGATAAACACAAAAATAACATAAAACAAATTGCATAAACCTGAAAGCATAGTTTTCCATGATAGAGGATTATGGTGACATACATGTTTCTATGTATGATGTACAGATATTTTCATTACCATGTGTTTGCCCTCATGAATCAAATGCAGAAAATATTACAATTATCAGGAAGCCTTTAAGTCACTTAGAAAAATAAATAATATTTTCTCTTTTCAAAATTTTTGTCTTTCCTTTTTTTTTTTTTAATGTTTTATTTATTTCTGAACAGGAGAGAGAGAGACAGCATGAGCAGGGAAGGAAGGTCAGAGAGAGAGGGAGATACAGAATCTGAAACAGGCTCCAGGCTCTGAGCTAGCTGTCAGCATAGAGCCCGACACGGGGCTCAAACCCACCAAACTGTGAGATCATGACCTGAGCCAAAGTTGGACGCTTAACCAACTGAGCCACCCAGGTGCCCCTTCTTTTTATAGAGAGAGAGAAAGAGCAAGTACAAGTCAGGGAGAGGTGCAGAGAGACAGAAAGAAAGAATCTCAAGCAGACTCCATACTTAGCATGGAGCCTGACACATGGCTAGATCCCATGACCCTGGGATCGTGACGTGAGCCAAAATCAAAAGTTGGATGCTCATCTGACTCAGCCACTCAGGTGCCCCCAAAATGTTCACTTTTGAAGGTTCTGATATTTTGTCATGTGTCAAAAAGAAAATGTGAGCATCACAGTGTCCAATACAGTAGCTACTGTATTTAGCACTTGGAATGTGGCTAATGCTAGTTGATAAATATACTGTAAATAATAAATACACTCCAGGCCTCAAAGATTTAGCATGAAAAAAAAAGGAAGAATGTAAATTCATGACCTCAGCTGAAACCAAGAGACGCTAAATGATTGAGCCATTTAGGTACCTCTATTTGTGAGTTTTAAAACCCTAGAACTTGGAGCATAAACAAGATTTGGGACAATACCCAAGCAGTCTGAGTGATTGTGTCTTATCTTGAAAATCAGATAAAGCCTTCCCTGCTTGAGGAGGGATGGAGGGAGGAAGAAAATGCAAGAAAGTTTAGATGGGATCATATCCCCAACAGAGGACCTATGCCCTGCATTTCATGTAGGCCACCAACCTGGGAGTGGAGAGTGAAAGCAAAGGAATTCACTCACAGGGGGCCTAAATCTTATGCAAACAAGGTGGCAAAATCGCAGAGTTGTGACTTTAAGCAGCATGACCCTGGGCTGTAAGACAGAGATGATTAGATGGGTCACTGGAGAACTGGCCTTATTTAGCTCCACTGTATATCCAGAGGCCCCATGGGATCATGAGATAGAGCACCAACATGTTTCCCGAGCCCTCAGGAGGAGTGAGGAAATAGCAGAAATACAGCTAGACATGGAAAGGCTCATGGACAGGGGCAGGGATGTCTAAGTAGCACTAATGTGAACAGAGAACCAGGACCAGACGGACGAGGTACATGTCAGTGGAGGATGGTGGAACCACGGCCAGGGGCTTCTGATTGAGAGCTGACTGCTGTTTCAAGAGTTCCTAAGGAGCGCCTGGGTGGCTCAGTAGGTTAAGTGACCAACTTCTGGTCAGGTCATGATCTTGCTGTTTGTGGGTTTGAGCCCCGCATCGGGCTCTGTGCTGACAGCTCGGAGCCTGGAGCCTGCTTCTGATTCTGTGTCTCCCTCTCTCTCTGCCCCTCCCCTGGTCATGTTGTTTCTGTCTGTCTCTCTCTCCCTCAAAAATAGAACATTAAAAAAAAAAAAAAAAAGAATTCCTAGAATATATATGCAACTTGGAGAGAAAAAGATAAAAAAAAAAAAAAAAGGAAGCTGAAATAGAAATTAGGCTGTTTGAGAAACATACAGGAATTTATATTTCTTGAATCCCTGCAACTGAATTTAATCTTATGAGCTTCCTATCTTCTATATGATCAATGGGGGTAGCAAGGACCTTGAACTTGTTCAGAATTCTGGATGATTTCAGAAAGTTTTTGCTTAGTTTATTCTATAGGCATATATCTTACTCAGGAAAGAAAAAATAAGTAAATAGATGTCACTTTGGTCTGTCTCTAGCGGCCAGTCTAGTGCCTAATGGCCAATCCTAGCAAGACATTGAATAATCTCTCTCTCTCTCTCTCTCTCAACAACTGCTCCTCCATTTGTACCAGTGTCTGCTTTCCTTGAGCCTGTTCTATATCCCATGCTGTTGTGTTTCTTTTAATATCCTCAACTTTTTATTATGAATTTTTTCAAACAATCAAAAAAGTTGAAATGCTAGTACACTGCGCACTGTATTCATGCTGCATAGATTTAACACTTAACATTCTGCTATATTTGTTTTATATTTCTCTACACACTTTTTTTGGGAAATGTTTGAAAATAAACTTCAGACTGCATAATTACTTTCACCCTCATTTCTTCTAAATGAAAGCCTTCTGTTACATAAGTGTACTACCATTAATCTGCCTAAGAATATAAACAAAACCCTTGCTGTATCTAATATTACAGTCCATATTCAGATCTCCCCACATATGCCGAGGATGTCTGTTTGAGTTCTTATTCTAAAGGATTCAACCTAGGCTCATACATTGTATGTGCTTTTACATCTTTTTCAGTTTCTCTTAGAGAATAGTTCCCTCTACACACCCCCCCTTTTTAAAATATTTTTGTTTTTATTTTTTAAAAAGTCCAAACCATTTTATCCGTAAAATGTTCCACATTCTGAATTTGCTTAATTGCTTCCTCATTGTGTGGTGTAATATGTTCCCCTACCTCTTGTATTTCCTAGAAATGGAAATTTAGGTCTACAGGCTTGATTAGATTCAGGGTAAACATTGTGGCCAGAATAGGTCATCAGTGACACCGTATGTTCCATGTTGTTTCTCATCAGGATTGACACAATGTCAACTGGCCCCCATTGGAGCCCTTGGTTAAGGTGGTTACAATCAGATCTCTCTACTCTACAAACACATTTCCCCCTCTGCAGCAAGTCAGCCATCTGAGAGGTTATTTTTCACTTTTCCTGACTCTATCTTTCCTTCTTTGCTCATCTCCAGGAAGCTGTTTTATCTCCCTGAAACTCCCCCTCCCCCATTCATTAACTAAACACAAACATAAGGTTATTATAAGCGTTCAGGGAGGTAAAGGGTGTGAAATAGTTCTGTAAACTGCACAGTATTTTGCAATTTTGAGTTATTCTTATTCCAGTTAAGAAAAGGTTTCAGATGGTGCTCTGAGTCGCCCACTCATTCAGGGAAAGCAATGGTGTTCTGGTATCTGCTCACCAACCAGCTCTCCAAATAGAAGAGCTCTGATGTTTAAATTTTGCCTGTTTCTGCGGTGTTAATACTCCAACCCTGTCCGATTTCAGGCTACGGACTTGATGTCAACCAGGCTGCAAAATTCCAGAATATTGAACAATTGGCTCTTTCAAGCCTGAACAACCCGGAGGGTTGCCAGATTCAGCAAATAAAAATACAGCCAATATTTGGGATGTATGTATACTAAACAAGTTTTGTTGTGCATATGTGAATTCAATTTTCGTTGGGTGTCTTGTATTTTACCTGGCAGCCCTATGTGGTATGTGTGTATGTGTGTGTGTGCACGCATGTGCACGCACATGAGGGTGTGTGTTGAGGTATAAACAAGCCACCAAAAAAGACAGATTTCCATATTTACCCTCTCCCCACAATCTCACTGCAGAGGCTCTTCATGTGTTTGGTTTATTTCATGTTTTTCTTCCCTTGTTTTCTTTGGTTGGGTCAGACAAATGCTTTACCAGAATTTCCCCAACGTATGCTTTCCCTTAATACTAAGTCTTCAGGACAAAAAGGAGATTCTGAGACGAACAATTAAGTTTCTCTTCAGTAATAAAATGAAAAAAATTGAAAAATCTAAATCATTTCAAGAGGACTTCTGCTTGGACCAAACTCAGTTCCAACACTTTCCAAAACATATGTAAGTAAACACAAATCAATCATTATTACTAAAAGAAATCTAAAAATTAGAATTTTCTTTATAGCATGTGTAAGAAAATGGTTAATAAAAACTCTGGTAGTTATAATAGCCCCCTTACAGATAGGCTTTGTGGCAATTTAGGTGAAGCATTTCCTTTATAGATCATGCACGTGTAAAATAAGCTGACACCTGAGTGTGTCCCTATTGCCACACTGAGGTAGGATATCCTCTGCCCAGATATTTATATTAAAGAATATATATTAAATCAGGGTCCCTGGGTGGCTCAGTGGGTTAAGGCTCTGACTTCAGCTCAGGTCATGATCTCACAGTTCCTGGGTTTGATCCCTGCGTGGGACTTTGTGGTGACAATTCAGAGCTTGGAGCCTGCTTCAAATTCTGTGTCTCCCTCTCTCTCTGCTCCTCCCCTGTTCATGCTGTCTCTAAACATTTTAAAAAAGTATATGAAATACACATCATATATATAAAGATAAATATTACTTATCTTTCTAGGGGAAAAATAGGAAGAAAAGGTACTTTTGTTGTTGTTTTTGTGGTCTGACTGGGCTCATTCCTCCAAGAAAACATGCATGCAATCATATGGTTTACCAGGGCCTCCTTTACATGCTACCACAGATCCGAGGTGGGGAGGCTTAAACAGTGGAGGTTTATTTTCTCAGTGCTCTGGAGGCTCCACAGCCAGGAGGAAGATATCAGCTGGTCTGGTTTTTCTGAGGCCTCTCTCGTTGGCGTGTGTGTGACCTGTGTCCTGTGTGAGGTCCCATCTGGTGTCCCTGTGTGTGTCCTGATGTCTTCTTCTCACAAGGACACCAGTTACAGTGGGTTGGGGGCCACACTGCTGGCCTCACTTTAAGGTAATCACTTGTATAGATGTCCCATCTCCAAATACAGTCACATTCTGAGGTTTTGGGGGTTAGGACTTCAGTGTATCAATTTGGGAGGTGGGGGGCACACATTTCACTTCATAACAACATGCTTTTCTATCGTTATTCTATGGAGATGACAGTTGTATGTTTTTAATTCTTTCTTCCCAGGAAAAGAGTCCACGATTCAACAATTTGAGTCAACACACAGCCCAGATACACCAACCCCTCCAGCCACTTCCTGCCTGACGCAGCCTACAGAGTCCCCACCATTTCCAGTCAGGTTATGCCTCGCAGGCTCTCCGCTCCGTGATCTCCCTGCTCCAGTGCCTAGGCCATGCAGGGGCTTCCTCCCGAGGATCTGTGCACTCACACTCCTTCCTTATGCAGTGCTCCTTCCACTCTCCTCCCTCCTTCAGTCCTTCCTCCTTGAATTATCACCTTCTCCTGAGAAAATCCCCAACCAGCCTTCTTATAGACAGTCCCCTGTTCTGAGCTTCCAAAATTTTTTCTCTGTAGCATTTACGAACGTACTTCATATTTCACTTGCTGATGCTGTTTGGAAGAATACAAGCAGTGGTCAGGAGCACAGGCCTTGGAGGCGGTGGGCGTTAGCCAGGGTCGGCCTACACTACCAGAGGTCTGGTCTCAGGGCCACGGTCTCCTCGACATGAGCCTCAGACGAATCTGAGAAACTGAAATTACCTTCTGAAAGGGGTGGGCAGGTGATAGCAGGGGAATTCGTATTTTATAGTTCCGGATTCAAATGTGGGCTCGGAGCAGGTGTTGTAGCTGGCTGATCAAGGCTGCTCTGGAATGAATAGGGGAGCTGTCATACATGCCAGAAGAGACCTGGCTCCCATGAGTCTGTCTCCTTATGGTCGTGGGCCATGTCCTGGTTTCTTGTTTTCTTTTCCCTTTCATTGCACAGAGATCGTATTTGAAAACAGTTATCACAGAAAGTTGTCACGACAAAAGTTGCTTCTGTGAGTTTTGAAGCTAAAAAACAAAACAAATTAAAAATTAAGATAAAGCTGAAAAGCAGGTTAAAAAACCAAGAGCGATTCACTGCCAGCTTTAATATTTCATCTTTTTGTTATATATTTTGTTTTACAATTTCATTGTCCATTTTGCCCTGCATTTTCAAAAGCTTCCTAGAATATTGTCGTAAGGGATCTCTAAATAATTTGGCCAAAGCAGTGCCCCCTTAACCACAGCGCGAGACCCGCGGATGGTGCCGGTGTTGTCTCCTTCACGTCCACACCCGGGATAAAGTCCATTTATCAGTGAGGCACAGCCAGAGGCGCACAACAACTCCTAACGAACAGAACCAGCAGTACAATCGTCTGGGACGGAAGGGGTGGGCTGTGGTCTCTCTCCCTCAGCGGTCTCCCTGCACAGAGCTCACACTCCTCGTGGTGGTGGGAGACGCCCATGTGAGGAGACAAGGTGGGACGCCACACGCTGCGCTGACCTCTGGCATGAGGTGAACCTCGTGGACGCTGGGCGCAGGAGGGCCCGCCGCTGACCTCTGACCTCTGGCGTGAGGTGAAAGGTGTGGCCGCTGTGAGGCAGGAGAGCCCGCCGCTGAGCTCTGACGCAGGGTGAACCACCCGGCCCGGCCGTGTGATCAAGGTAGGCTGTGTTGATAAGCGCCGGTGACAGAGGGAGACCAGGGAGCCTCTGAGAGGCGCGGGAGCTGGGGGGGTGCTCTTCCGGTCGGAGAGCGAGGCTTGACGGAGGTGACGTCAGAGGGCAGGTCGTGTGCCTTCCGGTCCAGCCCGGCCTGGTACCCTGTGGCTGGTGGTCCCTGACCTCTCAGTGGGGAGGGCCTGTGTCTGGGGCCGTGGTCCCGGGTCCCCTGTCGCCCAGCGCACAGGGGTGAGGTCTACGCGGTGCTCTGGGACACCTGGGCGAGGCCCCGCCTGAGTTTGTAACCCAGCGAGCCGCCGCCATCAGACCTAAAGGAGCAGGGCTCCTGGGCCCGGGCTCTGTGCGCAGGGCCTCAGCCGGCCTTCCCCGAGGCTGCTGTCTCCAGAGAAGAGCGTTCTGCCTCCCGCCCTTGCCCCGCGAGGAGGTGCCTGTAATCTCACCTCTTAAATGACATTGAAGGCCTCGCAGACCTGAGTGAAGCAAGGGACCGAGTCAGCGCTGATTTTGTAAGTTATCTGTAAGGGGAGGCATTGCAACCCGCCTTATTTTTCTTCTAGAAAGAAGTGGTCAGGGAACCCCATAAATTGGGAAGGAGGAATACCTTCTTTCTCAAGATGGGGGAGAACCGTAGTAACACGGATTAATTTGACTGGCATCTCCTGTAAAAGGAGACCAAGCCAAAGGGTAGTGAATTGCACTCTGGAGGGAAAAACAACCATGGAACTGTCTTTCCAGCAGCAACGCCGATTAAAACATTACGTTTGAATGTGTTCTGTGAAAGACTTCTGCGTCAAGACACATAATAATTATATATATATATCAAGCAGCAGTGTTTTGGGTTGAATTTAAGATGTTTCCTCCAACTTCAGTCTCAAAAGGGAAATGATACATTTTCATACAAGTTGATGCCCTCTGAACCATAGTAAAATCAAGGTGTTACCTCAAAAGTAGGGTCACCCCAACTTGAGACCATAGGAAGTAGAAAGTGTACTATTATTGTTCTTAGCGTCACTGTATAAACGGCACTTTCCATGCGAGGCTTCCGTCTGTCCCACTTTTCTCTCAGCTTCTCAGGTGTGGCTCCTCTCCACATGGCCACCCACTAGTTAGGAAAAGAGAGTATTGACTTTATCCAAGGACAAGCAGCAGGTTCAGGACCCCATTAGTGGCCAAGAGGTGCACCACCTTTATGGACATGCTCCCACGAACCCTTGTCAACTGTAAATCTGCAGAAAGTTGAGTCTGCATGCTGACATCCAGTGATTGCTTTGAAATCCGTTGTTTTGTGAATGTGAGGGCAGGGTTCCCTCTGCATTTTGTTCACACTTATGCGATTAGATCTCCATGAAACTTTAATAGTCTAATGCTCGTGATGCTAGGGATATCGAGAGGATGCTTTGGAAGCATAAACCTGAATGGGAGCCTTACCTCTGCCACAGATTAGCACTTTACTCGATTTCTCTGTACCTCAGTGTCCCCATCTGTAAAATGGGGACGTGGGAAACATTTGCGTTTGCAGCAATAGTGAAAAACAGAAAAGGGCTCATCTGTGTTTACTGTGACAGTGGTTGTGAATACTGTTTTTTATACGCTGATAATGGATTTGGACAAGGCAGAAATATCTTTAGGCCTCTGCCTTTTTATTTAATGAGATATAGAGATATTGTCAGTAATGCCCTTTAAAACCTAATAATTCTGTGACTCTAAGACAGGGTGTATACGGTCTGAAAGGTCTGTTACAGAGTTTTTATTCAGATGTTAGGATGGGAAAAGATAGGATAAAATAGGCCGAGAGGGAAAGATTAGGAGGTCTCTGGGTGATGAAAGACCTGTTTTCAAACAATGCTGGGAGTGTCTGACCACAGCAAACCCCTTGGGCTAAGGTTCCTCTTAAGAATATAACAGACCCCACCTACTCCCCCCGGGTTCCCCTCGGAAATTTGACAAAAGAGCTGACTCAAAGTAAGCAGTAGACCCTAGGACGGGTGACCCATGAGGAACGGCATGGTCATAGACTGCCCCGCATACGATGGAACCGAGCCAATCAGGAATGGAGCACCCAGCACCTACAGCAGCCCTCCCAGTAAGGGTGGGGCCTGAGAAGGAATGAGGGGGAAGGGAAGAGGTGCCTACCGGAACCTTGTAAAACAAGGACCCTTGCCTGTAGTCTGCGGGCATTGACTTTCCAACGTCCCCTGGGCACGGAGAGCCCTCCTCCTGTGCTTACCTTCTGAGCTCATCCTCTCGTGAACTGGCCACCACTCGTGTCCACCTCTTCACTCTCCGAATGGTGACACAACGGCTCCCAGCTATGGAGGCCAAGACCCCTGCAGCAGTCTCTGCACAGCGTTGCTGCCCCACTCTTAAAAATAATGCATGGTAGAAGTGATCCAAAATAGTGGAACGTGCGTGCAGAGAACTTCAGGAGACGCGTGCTTGGCTCACGCTCAGCGGAGAGTGGCCAGCTTCGCCCTTGTGTCAGGTCACACACACATGGCATGTGACCTCCATTACAGGTGCGCTGGGAGACGTGCCAGCTTGTCGGCTTGTGCCAAACAAAGAGTGAGCAATGGGATGGTTTTAGCAGCTTTTGCAGGCCTGTGCCGGGTTCCAGGACTCCCCGAGTGCTACCCACTAGGGGATGTGCTCCAGCGCCCTGGGTCTGTGGGCAGCATGTCAGATGTTACCCATCACACTTAACGTGCAAGACCTAGTGCAAATGAGCAACTTTACCCCGTTCCTCCCAGGAAACCTTTAATTTCCCTCAAACTTAATAAGGGAAGAGAAAAGAGATGTCCCAGAGAGTTTTTCAGCACTTAGGAGACAAAAATAACAAGGCACGAGTTATGTAACCTTCAGTAAGCTCTGTGGCTAAGTTTACAGCCTTTGGTAATCTCTAATTTGCATGTGCTTTCTTCGGAGTTTTAAGTCTGTCCAGTTTTGTCTGGCTTTGGAGCATCGTCTTTGGGAGGACGACAAACAGTTCTTTTGAAATTTTGGCAAGTGTCACTGACCTGCTCGGATGGGTTGGAGCCACACTTTTACACCTCCCTTCATTTTTCAAACAAAACGCCCGAGTGAAAGCTGTAGGGATTTATGATGAGTGAATTAAAGATTTTCTTTCTCTGTTTCCTCTCACCCAGCGTTTGAGAGCGCTAAGTGATGTGGTTAGCTGTGAGTGTGGCTTGGCAGCTAGAAAAATGTTTTATACCCTAAAGTGGGCAAAGTCTCTGACTGTGGTATGATAGAACCCTCAGTGCAATGTATTTTGGCAGCACTGTTATTTTTGCAGTGTTTAGTATTGTTTATTGCAGCCTGCTTTTTGGTCGATCTTTTATATTTATGTCTCTGTGTCCTGTGATGGCTTAAACATACGTATCTTTCTTCCTTTGAGATGGCCAAGCAGTTGTGCACTGAAGAGGTATTTCCTGATGATTCATTCATTAACAAAATACAGAGTTCTTTTGTAAACTCTCTTGGGCAAATTGATGAAAGTAAAAAAACTGTTTTCCTCTGAATAAAATAACTTTTGTTTGTACTTATATATGCACACACACAGAAACTGAGTATTTCATTCCATTTTAGACCTGTTTCCTTGTCTTACTCATTTTCTTTGGAACAATTGAGTACTTAGAGAAGTGAAGTAAAACTGTAATCTTTATAGATCAATTAGTCCATTATAACTTTTTGTAAAATCTTAGAATTACCTTGATCATGTGAATTTATCTGGATAAACATATATCTTTAAAAATTAAAAGTATTCTTACAGATAGACACTGTAAGACTAATTTTTCCAGACCTGTGCATTGTTCCTTTGAATTCTAAAAGTACGTTGGATGTATTGTCAATGGCATTCACAGCATCAAATTAAGTGTATTCTTGAATAAGACCTTACTGCACTTGTGGGGATGAGCACTGGGTGTTATATAGAAACCAACTTGACAATAAACTATTAAAAAAATACAAAAAACCTTACGGTACTTGCTCTCTCTATGCTATCATGGACCAGTACAAAATAAGACCAATTTATATCCAAAAGGTCTACTGTGTTGGGAGGAACAAAAATAATATTTTATAAATATATTCCATGTATAATTTTTTAAAATAAACACAAATCATCTCAATAAGTTCGGTACGTTTTTCTTGATCCTTGTCCTGTCCGAATGTTTTTGGGGAGGTTCCTGTTTATCTTTGGGACCGCAGCATAGGGCAGATCTGTCCCAGAGGGTCTGGAAAGGTCATCATACTCTAGAGCCCTGTTGCCATGTGTTGGAATGAAATTAACCTGTCCCCGTCTTATTCCTTCAGTCTCCCACCCTGCTAAAGTTATTATGGGTGACATGTTATACTTTCAAATCACACATTTTTACATATTTCTGAAGTTAATGCTTTCATGTAAGAAGTGGGTAGAAGTCTCAGACTTTTTTCAGGCCAGTTGACAAGAGAGCTTTGAGCAGGTAAGCTAGTTTATTATTTTTTGAATCATATTCTATTATGCTGCTACTTGCCATTGATTATACATTGATCTACACTGGAGAGAACTGACGTAAGTACGTGTAGAAGGTTGGATAATTTCCCAGGACTTCTTGGCCACTCTACCCAACTAATGGATGTTTGAATAACAGAAGACACACATCACATGGAGTTTAGACTTGGCCCACGTTTGTACAAGGGTGTCTCTGTTTCAGGGAGGAAAAGAATGATGTATACATGGCTGGCACTTTAAAGAAACACCAGCCTGTCTAGCCAGTCATTAGTGAGGTATGCTGTTGACTTAGTGGAAAACTTCCAGGTATGCGCTGGTCTGTCCTTGAGTAAGCGGTGAATCAAGGCCGAACCTAGGCCAGGCAGTGCCCAAGCGGCAAGAAGGTATTGAATGCTGTCTCCTCCACGGGATCTGGTTTCTACACAAAGTTAAAAATACGTGTGCAGAGATAAGTTAAATATTTCTGAGGTTTTAAGAGAATAAGGGTATATTATTATTTTTTTAATTCGACTTAGTTACCTTACACTGTAGTCTTGGTTTCGGGAGTAGAAGAACCCAGTGATTGATCACTTAAGTACGACCCCTGGTGCTCATCCCAACTCGTGCCCTCCTTAATGCCCATCGCCCATCTACCTCACCCTCAGACCCCTCCCCTCCAGCCACCATCAGTTGGTTCTCTGTATTTTAAGTCTTTTATGGCTTGTTTCCCTCTCTGTTTTCATCTTATTTTTTGTTCTCTTGTCCTATGTTCCACTGTTTTGTTTCTTAAATTCCACACAGTGAAGTAATCTGATATTTGTCTGACTTATTTCACTTAGCATAATGCCCTCCAGTTCCATCTACATTGTTGCAAACGGCAAGATTTCAAATAATTCTTTTTCATTGCCAAATAGTATTCCTGTGTGTGTGTGTGTGTGTGTGTGTGTGTGTGTGTGTGTGTATCATATCTTCTTTTTCCATTCAAAAGTTGATGGACCTTTGGGCTTTTTCCATAAATTGGGTATTGTTGATAGTCCTGCTATAAACATGCTTTGAATCAGCATTTTTGTTAGTAGCGCAACTGCTGGGTCGTAGGGTAGCTCTATCTTTCAGCTTTTTGAGGAACATTCATACAGTTCTCCACAGTGGCTCCACAAGTTTGGGTTCTCACCAACAGTGCAAAAGGGTTCCTTAGGATAAGGATATGTTCTTTTCCCAAAACACTGAATTTGGAAAGCAAGTGAGACATTAGGAATGAAGGAAACCCTGCAAAGTTAGTTATTAAGATCTCACATTCTGTTTTAGGCTCTACTGCTGTGCGCCTAAAACACACATGAATATTTGGGACCCCACTTTCTCTGTAATTCTCTCCCTCCTACCTCAGAGCAGCTTTTACCTTTTCCTGTGTTTTTCAGGCCAATGTTCTCAAAAAGATCAATGTTCTCCTGAAACAGTTCTCATCTTAGGCTGGTTGTTGAGATAAGTTAACTGTCGTAGCAGACAAAGATAGTCAAAATCTGTAGGAATGATCTCTGCTTCTGGGATTGAGTTTCTGCTTTAAACACATCTGGCTCTCCTGAGAAATGAAAGTACTTTATGAAGAGTTTCCCACTTTACATTAAAGATTTAAAAACTAAACTGTCAAGTACAGAAAATTCAACACATTCCGCCTTCATTTTATACAATCCCACATCCACTTTTCTTCCTCATCAAGTGGGTCTTCCTGGTTTTTGGTTCTTATAGGTAAACCACCTTCTACTTTTGTTCTAGTCTCCCCTATCCTTCAATTAAAGCCCAGCCCCAAGGCCATAAGAACTTCCTTGACAATCAGTGCACTGAGGAAGACTTTGCATTTCCAAGTGTCTGTGCTCCCATGAAGTTCAGTACTTGCTTTGTGATAGTATAATAGTACCTAACAGAGTGCTTTTTATATTGAAGGCACTGTTTAGGTGCTAAACAAATGTTATTCAATGCTCCAGCAATCATATAAAGCAGACTTTTTTTTTTAAGGAAAGGAGGGGCAGAGAGACTGGGACCCTCCCCAGCAATTAAAGACGTTTCTGTGGTCTTGACTGCCATGTTCCTCTCTGAAGACTCTCATCTTTCTAAGCATTATATCTTCCATAGCACGTAGCAGAAAGGTGTGTGTTTGTATTATCACTAAATGGCGACCGATTTAATGTGAAAATTAAACGACCAGTTATACTTGGATGTACATAGTCTTATTATTTTTATTTAACAATGATGCTGATATCTGGAAGGAAATAGGAGAGAGTGGTCGCAGAAGTGTACTTAAATTCTTCTTATCATAACATTTACATGATATTGAAGAGTTCCAGAAGAGCCTGTTGGTGAACATTTGGTTTTTGAGCATTGCTACCTCAGCTTATACTGATGATACAACTTTTACATTAGTTTTAAACTTTTCCTGTCACTTTGGCAAGATCCCAGAATGGTGCAGAATAGGAGACAAAAACAGAAATAATGAGAAGATAATTACATGCTCAAGCACACCAGAACAATTGCTCCAAGACCTAATATAGTGAGAAGGGTGCCATGAATCATGAATCATGAGGCCAAAGACAGCCTCCACGTTAAGCGGCTAACCACAGAAAACTGCATCTGAACCACTTAGCCCTTGAGAGTGACCCAGGATATACATATGCACAGCGTGCAGTTTTTAACCACTTACCTGGGAACAAGAGATAGTAATTGCAAAAATGAGATCACGAAAGTACTTACCCTGTGACCACACGGGGAGATGCTGGCCAAGTGCTAACTGTGCCAAGAATAAAAAATAAAAATAAAAAAAGTGGGTGATTTCATATGCCAGATGAATGTCCAATTACTGACTAACCTAAACATAATTTTCTTGACCACTTTAATTCCAGTGGTATTTTCAGTGCTACAATAGTATGCAAACAAAGCAACACAGAACAGTATTTCTTGTTTTCTTTCATCCTTTCCTCTCTTCCACTCTACTTGTGCTCAACCTTCTGACGCTAGAAGATGTGTCTGTAGCATAGACTGTGGCCTGTATATGTAAGAAGGTGTTCTCCAAATCTGTTCTATATAAATAGTTTTCAGGTTGATGATAGAAGACTTTTGTAACCGAAAGGGACTCAAACCTTTGACTGTCCTTTTATTTTGAATGCAATATTGAGTTTATCAGAAAACCAAAGAATAGTGAAGTACTGATAAGTTAACAAGAGAAAGAACACAGTTTACTGTCATCATTGGCAAATGTAGCAATTGCTACCATTTAATAACTACTACTACTGTTTAAAAACTGCTACTGGCCTCATCTAAAAAACCTCATACAACTTAAAGGGTCACTTGATCATACTCCCCTTTTCTTTAAAAACATATTTAAAAATAACAGTTGGATTAAATTTTTTTTTTAAGGTTTATTTATTTTTGAGGGAGACAGAGCATGAGTGCAGGAGGGGCAGAGAGAGAGAGGGAGACACAGAATCTGAAGCTGTCAGCACACAGCCAGACACAGGGCTTGAACTCACACCATGAGATCATGACCTGAGCTGAGGTTGGATGCTTAACTGACTGAGCCACCCAGGTGCCCTGAGTTAAATTTTCTAAAGCTTTTTACTTTTTGGTGTGATAGATGTTTATACTTGCAATTGGCAGTTATCTGTCATTTACAAATGCAGATTTTAAAGGAAATTTCCAGTGTTGGAAAGCTACCACTACTTGTTCTATACATTGTGAATAAAGTAGGAATTAGGCAAAATAAAAATGGGTCCATAAAAAACACAGTTCTTTAGTGGGCTTTATATGTAGTGGGTTTTATATGCCAAAATAAATACAGTATTGTAGTGAGCTTTCTATGTTGTTTAAAACTTAACATAATTTGCCTCTTAGTGTTGGTCTATAATAGTGAATTTTCTTCAGCTATTTGCTCTGTATATACCACTGAGTGCAGGAAGTTCAAATTAAATATATATTCTAACTGGTTCAGAAACTGTAATACAACTTCACTTTTCATTCCACTTTCATTTAGACAAAGCAGTCATTTGATTTGCAAATAACTCTGCATGTGAGGATTCCTCACATATAGTTTACTACAAGAGACAATGACAACACACCTTTTAAAATTTGTTTATGTAAATTTTTGTGTAGAAAGATCAGATTTTATATATATATATATATATATATATATGTTTATTTTTGAGAGAGAGAGAGACATACAGAGTGCAAACGGGAGGAGCAGAGAGAGAAGGAGACACAGAATCTGAAACGGGCTCCAGGCCCTGAGCTGTCAGCACAGAGCCTGACACGGTGTTCGAGCCCACAAATCACGAAATCATGACCTGAGCCAAAGTCAGGCGTTTAACCGACTGAGCCACCCAGGCGCCCCAGATCAAATTATATTTTAAGGCACTTAATGAAAGATTTAAAATATGATTGTGTATTTTAAGGAATTTTTTGGGTTATTTTGGAACCATACCACAATAGAAGTTTTTGTTGTTTTTGTTTGT